GGCCAATTCTGGTGGGTGTCATGCTTGGTGCTTCCTGGAGTAAATCAGAGCTTTCAAGAAAGATGCTTTCCTCTTACTGCCAGTCTTGTGTAGGAGAGGCCAAGGGGAAAGTGTGGGCGCATTTGGGAGCCAGAGAAACACCTTTTACAAAATAGTTTTGTCTGCAGTCATCTATACATATAAAAGCCTAAGGGACTGTTCGACCGGTAGCTATGATGTGCACTGATCACCAGGGGGCAGATGCTCAAAGCACAGGCATGGAAACATGGAACAGAATAATGAATTTCAGAGGGAAGGGGGAGGGAGGAGAGCAGGAAGAGATTAACCAAAGATCTTATATGCATACTGAGGCCCCATGCACGAATTCTTGCACTGGGCTGGTTTTGGTCCTATCTTCACAGGCCAGGCCGAGGGACCTGACTGGTGCAAGAATCCATGTACCGGGACTCGAGTAAGTAGATAAAGGATGGGAGCTGAGCCTCTGTTACTTAGAGTCGGAGAACCAGGGTTCTAACTCTTGGGTTTGAGCAGAGAAACCTTGAACTTTTAGAAACTGTGATCTCTTTGAACCTTTCCTTTTCTCCACATTGTGCAAATAATAATAGGATTTACCCTATGAAGGAGCAGGCATGAAACACAGCAATGACATGAAGAGTATACACAGTAGCTGGCCTCCAGGACATAGTGAGAACTCAGTAAATGTTACCAGCGATTCTTATTTGGAGGTAATACTCATTATTATCTCAGCGCTGATTGGCCTCATCCTTACCGAATTCTTTCACGCAGACATGGCAGATAATCTTATAACTGCCTCCCACGTTTCCCTCCATTTTTCCTGGGACCCTTGCCTCCTCCCTCCTCAGGCAACTCATCTGTCTCAGAATTTCGCCCAGGACCCAAGGACAAACATGCCTTGTGTTGAAATAATTAGAGCAGCCGCTGTCATGAGCGGAGGCTGCACCAGGGCCTTCTGAATGTTACCTCAATTGTTAGACCCCTATGTACTCTACCTCACAGGTGGAGAAATCAAGACTGATATGGAGACGTGACCCCGCTAGGGTCACTCAGTCAGCATGAGGCAGAGCTGGGGTTCAGAGTCAGTTTGGTTGGACTTTGAAATTACTTAAAACTAAAAAAAAATTAAAAATAAAAAATCCAGTATCCATGCAGGCCCTCCTCCTTCCCCCACCCCCGAAGCACTTGACTATACAAATAAAGAGGGCTCTGAGTTAGGAGGTCACCGTGATTAGGCCTAGTGCCAGGAGCGTTTGAGATTTCCAAGGAGCCTCCTTGAGTCAGTGTCCAAAAATGTCCCGGAACCGCAGGGAGCCTCTGTGCCTCCCAGGCCAGTGGCCGGTGAGAACACAATGTGACCGTATTGCTTTGACTGTGGCCATGTGGTGGCGAGGAAGCCCTGACCCCCTTCCGGCCTCTTTGTCCCCTTTAGGGCTTCCTCTGGGGGCTCCTCCCAGGCCGCCTGGCTGGTCTTGACTCTGAGGTGAAGGAGTAAACATGTTGGGACTCTTTATTAGTTTATTTCAGAAGATGGAGCCTGTTTGTCCCTGGGGCCCGTCCCTCTTTTATGGCCTCCAGCCCTTCTTGACAAATTCTAGCGACTGGAGAGAAAACCCGCTTTCTACAGCGGATCATTAAAACACCACCATAAAAACCCAGGGCCATAAAATATTATTTGCCTGGCATAAAAGGAGGGGGTGGGGGGGCGAGATTTTCCCAGAATGTCAACCCCGGCTCTGCTTTCTCCCACTGGGAACGGCGGCACAGGGATGAGATGGTTCATAAATTCCTTATCTTGCACTCTGTTTTGTGAAATAACCCTGTTGGGAGAGCAGCCAAAAATATTGATTTATTGGTTCCACAGACTCAGAAGCATTTTTAATGAGGGGAGCGTGGTGATGCCTTGCTAGTGTGTCTGCAGATGACTCAATCTGTGGACATACACCCAGATACACACGAGGTGCCTGTGGGGAAAGGTGGGGATCCAAGGACTGGAGATCTGCGGAAGAGAGCCTCTGGGGATGGAGATGGAGAGGATGGATTCCCCTCCTTCGCACTGTCCATTGCCTGGCCAAAGCAGTCAAGGCCCATCTTGGAAGGAGCTTTACAACTGAGCCTGGCTTTCTAGAGTAGCCTGCTGCCCCATACGCCCCCCACCCACCCTGACTGAAGGGTCAAAGTGGGTTTCCTGTTGGTTCCCGTTGACATTTTTCTCTGGAAATAACCTTTGCATCCAGGCATGCATTTATTTGGTCATTCAACCAATATTATTGCGCAGCTACTAAGTGCCAGGCATGGGGGCCACAGCCGTGAACACACAGCCACGGAGCTCAGTCCATTCTCACGGTGTCCTCTCAGCACGCCCTCGATTCCTATCATCAGATCAGGCTCACAACCCTCCGCCTGAAGTCCTGGGGGTCGATAGGATTGTCAGAAATTTTGGAATTTTTTTCTTGAAAGATAAAATAGGGCATATGATGGTTTTGTTTGCAGACAGCCTCCTCGAAGTCTGGGGAAGGACCCAGTAATCCAACACTGTTCATATTGCTTCACGCCAACTGGGATAAATTGAGACTATCAATGGCCTTGTCACGTGAGGTCTAGTTTTGCCATCAAAGGAGTGGCAGAAATGTCTGTTGTCAGAGCTGCTTTCTGTAGAAGAGCAGGTGTTCGTGCCCGACCCACCCTACGTGTTTCATGATCACGCCCATTCGTGCTCCCCACATCCCCGATTTTCAAGATCTTCCTTTGCATTGTCACTGCTTCCCTACCAGCGAGGTCATTGTCTTTCTGCTCTTCTTTGCTGTGTGACAGGTCATTGTCTTCCCCTGGTTTGGTCTGTTGTGTTGCTGCTGTTGTTGTGTATGTTTAAGGGGGCTCTGAGGCACCTGGAGGCTGAAGGACTTGTCCAAGCTTTCACAGCTGGGATGTAAGGGACAGGAGATTGGAACTGCAGATGTCAGAGTTCAAACTCGTAACCACTATCTCACCCCACCTTCACCAAGGGAAGGAACAAAGCAGGAAATAAAACTGTTGGGGTTGTGTAAACACAAACAAGCAAAGGCAACTGGAAAGAAACAGAAAAGTTATCTAGATAATTCAGAATCAGAGGGAATCATAAAGGTCCGCAGCTCGGGAGCCAGCGTTTCGGGGCTGATTGCAGGAATGGAGCACATTCTGACAGGAAGGGCCCTTTCCTCCTTAGGAACAGGATCCTCTGAGCGCGCTACCTGCAGGCACTCAGCACCCTCTGGGAGCTGAGTTCTTAACCAGTTCATTTCCTGCCACCTCTCAGTGTCTCTGCCCATGAACTGGGTCCAAGGAATGGATTCTAGGGGCATCCTCTGCGGTGCCTGCCCAGAGCCACCGAGCTTCTCCAGCCAGGAGAACCCCAGGTGGCAGTGGCTGGGCAAAACAGAGTGGGGAGAGCGCCTGGAGAGGATGGATTTGCCAGGCACAGAGCCCTCTTGCTTAGCCCTCATCTGCCATGGGCAGATTTCAGGAAAGACTGGAAAACTGGAAGATATCCACCTGCTGGTTAAGCGGTGAAGGCCTAGAGAGAATGAGAGGAAAGCAGACTCAGGAGGTGGAGGGAGGTCCCCTGGGGGATCTCTGATAACCTTGGGCTCCCTCTTCCCTGGAGAAAGAGAGCCAGCCCCTGGGAGCAAGGGCATCTCTGGCAGTTGGTGGAAAGCCCACACTTGACATTGTGATGTGCCCAGTAAGGGAGGCCAGGGTGGCCCTGGGCCAGGGCTATGGAGGGGCCCAGTCAGCAGAGACAAGTAAGGAGCAGGTAGGGCCAGCCAGGAGTGTAGCTGGGTCACCAGAATCTCTCCCTGCACAGGCTGGGGTGATCAGCCAGGGGTAGGACGAGGGCAGGGAACTAGAAAAACAAAGCAGCCACTACCTCAAGTACCCCTGGCTATGGATTTTGCTCCTAGGTCAAGTGCATGCCACACACACACAGATGACTGAAATTGAGGTGTGTGTGTGTGTGTGTGTGTGTGTGTGTGTGTGTGATTTCCACCGGGAATGTCTGGAGAATGGGGAGGACTGAGAACAAGAATTGTGCTCCAGTGTGAGGCATTGTTTGGAGGCCTTAAAGTGGGGGTCATTCATCCACCAACCCTGCCCTGCCTGAGCCCAGGTGTCTGGAAGAACTCAGAGCCCCAGTGCCCCGAACCCAGTTCTGCTGAACTTCGCAGGCTTCTTTCTCACCATAGGACGCTCACCTCACCAAGATCCACCTGGCAAGACCGGGCATCCCATCAGGATGCTCCAGCATCCTAGGCAGATGCTGGATCTCGCTCCCAAGCACCCAAATCTACTACCCTGGGAGTGTAGCAGGATGCCTGTGCCTACCTACCCGATTTTCCAGCCCGGACCCCTGTCTCAGGGACCCCACTCCCCCCTCAAGGGCAAAAATGCAGAGGAAATCCTTCAAGAGGTTCAGTGCCAGGGCAGCAGCCCCCTTGGAAGCGGCCTGGGACAGGCAAGCCCAAGCGTCCAGCCCGGGAAGTTGGGGTTCAGCCTCCTGCAGCTCCTTGGGGGTGGAAGGAGTGAAGAGAGGAGAGAAGGCTGCAGGCAGAAGGCGGCCGCAGAGCGGACCTCTCTCTCTCAGCAGATGCCTGGGGGATGGGGAGCCCGGAGAAGGGGGCTCGAGCAGGGATTGCATCCCGCCCCCCTGCACCCCAGCCCGTGGTATGGCTTTAAAAATCCTGCGGAGTTTGTCATAGGCCGGCCTCAGCACGCATGCGCATAGGCAAAGTTGAGTTTTTTCTCTCCCCCTACCCGCCCCCCCCCCCCATTCCCCCTCTCTCTTTTCAGCAGCCTTTGGTTCTGCAACTTAAAAAAAAAATTTTTTTTTCTTCTTCTTCTTCTTCGAGAACAGCAGGGGAAAGGAGTGCGGAGTGGGAGGGAGAGAGCGCGGCAGTTGGCCAGAAGGGCCGGGGGCGGGTGGGGGGGACGCGGTCGCGGCGGCCGGTCAGCCTGCCTGCCTGCGGGGCTCAGGATCCATCGCGATCGTGGGGAAGGGCTGCCGTGCGCCCCGCGACCGACGACGCCGCCGCCTCCCCGAGCCCGGCTCCGAGCGGCCCCTCCGAGCCAGCGCCTCCCGCCGCCGCCGCCGCCGCCGCCGCGGGGCCCTCGCCCGCCCGCCGCCCGCTCTCCCGCCCCTCGGGCCCGGGCGCCGGCCATGGACCTCCGGAGCTGATCGGCCGCCGCGGAGCCCCGCGCCCTCCCCAGCCCCACGCCCTCGGTGCCCTCGCTCCGCATCGCTCTTCGCCCTGGAAAAGGCGGGGGATCAAGGGGGGGATTCACCCGAAGAGAGAAAGAAGGGGGTGGGGAGGGGAGAGCCGCCCGTGTCTCCCCTGGGGGCGATCGCCCCCCGAAACCACCGCACCGCACAGGCAGAACGAACGTCCGGGGGGAACGGCTACCCATGTCTGCGCTCCCTTTTCTGCCAAACCCTAAAATGAAAGGACAAAAGTTGGCGCTGACTCTTGCAGCAGCTCGGATGGCGACTGGTGCGTTCTCAGAGGCATCTCCCGGAGAGAAAACCGTGCGCGCCTGATTGTGCTGGGGCTCCAGCGCTGCGGAGTGTGTGAGTGTGTGTGTGAGTGTGTTTGGGTGTGTGTCTGTGTGTGTCTGTGTGTACACAGACGTCCGCACACTCGCGGCCCCAGGATCAGCGCCTGGAAGCAGACTTTTCGGCCACAGACTCGGAGAGGAGGAGCTGGAGACCAGGAGGGCGTGAGCCGCCCGGAGTTTGCAGAATCCGTGGTGTGAATGAACCGGGGGCACCTGGGCGCGCGGATCACCCCCCCCCCCTTTCGCCTCAGGCCATAGTTGAGTAGCGGGGCATTTTTTTTAAACCCTCTTGTGAAGAATTTTTTTTTATTATTTGTTGTAAAGTCTTTTGCACAATCACGCCCACATTTGGGGTTGGAAAGCCCTAATTACCGCCGTCGCTGATGGACGTTGGAGAGGGAGCGCCTCGCCGCGGAGCAGTCGCCTGCGCGCCCTCGCCGGACCCGCGGCTCCCTCGCTGCGCCCCGGCCCGGCCCTGTCTCTGCCGCGGGCCGCCGGGCTCCCGCGCCCCCTCGGACCCCGGGCGCACCCCAGCGCCGCCCAGGCTCGGGCCCCCGGACCCGGGCTCCAGGAACCGCTCCGGCCCCGACTCTCCGCGCCTGCGGGACGCGCCCAGAGGGAGCCCGCAGCTCGGCGTCGGATCGGCCCCCCGGGCTTAATCGGCCGCCCCGCTTGGATTTCTCCGCTGCCCTGGCTCCGGTGGCGACTTCCTCTTCGAGCCCCCTCCCCCTCGCCATGAAGGTAGGTGTTCTTTGCTCCTCCGATGCTCCATCGCCACCTTTTTTTTTTTTTTTTTTACCTTTCCTTTTTTTTTTTTTTCTTATGGAAGTTAACTGAATCCCCCTCCTCCCCAAACCCCACCTACCTCTTCCTATTCCTCCCTTTCTCCTTTCGCCTCCAGAGACTAGAACTCCCTCCCGCGGGGCTGGCGGGGACCCCTATTCTTCGGCCCCCCCCCCCCCCCCAACACACACACACACTCCTTGCTCACTACTTCTGTCTCCCCGAGACCTCTTCTGGTCTCACCAAGCATTCTGCAAACCTTTTCGACTTTTGGAGAAAAGGCTGGCAAGAGCCAAGGCAGAAAACAGTGCGGTTCACAGACGACTCAGCTCCCCTTTGGCCCTGAGAAACTCGAGTGTACTTTACTATGTGTATTTCAGTCACAGGATCATGATTCAATTCAACAAATATTTGCCAAGTGCCCACGGCGCGGGCACCGAGGAGGTGTGTGGGCCAGGGCTCGGGAAGGGGAAGTGGCCTCCTTGGTGGAGAGGCTGGGCAGCCGGACTAGGGGGCCAGCTGCTCCGGAGAAGCGCACCCCTCGCCCTCTGCAGCCGGAGGCCAGGCTGCAGAGCCCGTCCTGGCCAGGGAGCCCTGGTGCTGCATGCAGGCCCTGTGCCTTTAAGAGTGGCTGGCGGGGGGCCAGTGCGCACCCCGGCTTGGGGAGCAGGGTCGCGTTATTAGCATGATTAGCCGCCACCGGGGGAGCCGGGCACTGGGCGGCGGGGCGAGCGCGGGGAGGGCCGGCTGCGGCTCTCATCCCGGTCCGCGGGGAGAGCGCGCCCAGGCCCCCTGCGCGGACCCCGCCGGGCCATTTGGAAGCATTTGGGCGTCCGCGCTGGGGGAGAGCCGGCGGGGGGCAGTTTGTGAGCCCTTGTTTGTTTTAATTGTCAGTTGTATGTGAAAGCCGAGTCACACACTCCGAGGGTCACCGAGAGTTCACTTTTAAGAAAAGTTCACATCTCTTTCCTGCTATCCAACTTGCTCCTTTTCAAGTCCCTTTTCCTCTCTCTCTGCCCTCCAAGCTCCCATCCTTCCCATTTTTGTGTGTGTGATCTCTCCCATGTTCAGTTTTCTAGAAAATAAGGTTGAAGTTGGAATGAGGAGGTTTCCTAAAAGCAAGCAAATTCTCCCTCCCCCAAAGGTTATTTATTTATTTATTTTTAAACCCGCTACCCGGGAGACCCCCGCGGCCTTGTTTTACTTTCTAAACCTAGTCCTCCGGCGCGAGGCCCCTTCTCTTCTCGCCTTTCTTTACATGGACACCTCGCTGTTTGGAAGGCGCCTGTAGCCAGCGGTGCGATCGCACCTCCCGGGCCCCTGCCCCGCCGCTAACGCTCTCCGCAAGGCCAGACGCGGAGACTCCGTTTCTAGACGGACGGCCGCAGCCCGGGGGGGTTCCGAGAGGGCAATGCCGAGAGCGCGCCGGCGATGGAGGGAGAGGCAGCAGGATTGTGTGTCCGAGCGTGTGAGGTTGTGTCCTGCGTGTGTGGGAGAAGGAAAAAGGTCCGTTGTTTTTGCGTCTTCTTGGGTAGAGTAGCCTCGGCCGATCCCGCACCGCCCCACAAAGGAGAACCCGCCCTCCCTTCCCTCGGAAAGGCCGACCCAAGGCGCTCCTGCCATTCCCCTCCCCTCCTTGGAGCGCTCCAGTGCACAAGGGGTTAGCGCCGCGCGCCTGGAGCTCGGCTCTGCCCGCAGTCTTTCTTCCCCGCCGCGCGGTGCCGGCTGCCCCCTGTTGGCCGCCTCGAGGTAGGACACCTCCGTTCCAGTTCCGTGGGGCGAGTGGGTTCGCAGCAGCTCCCACCTCTGGCGGCGCGCACTCTTGCCCACCCTCTCCGGGGAGGGCCGCGCCGGGGCCCCCCGAGGGCCCGCCGCCCTGCGCCGCCCCCGCGATGCGCAAGAGGCCAAGGGCACGACCCAGCGAACCGGGCTCCAGGGCGGGTGGAGCCTGAGTGGGTACCTCTTCTCCAAGGCGCTGGCTGGAGGGAGAGCCTTGCCCTCTAGGAGGCCTCGGGTCTGGTCTTCTTGGCGCTCTAGCCAGTTTTCTCCGTAATCGAGGACAAGTGTTGCTCTCTCTGGGCCTCAGTTTCTTGTCTATTAAAAAGCGCAGAGGAATCTGCCTCCGAAGGGAGGTGGCGGCGGGGGTTGAACTGATGTTTCATTTTCTCTCTCCTGCCACCGGACTCTGCTCTTCCTCTGGATAAAGTTGAGAGCCCCTGCTGAGAGTTAGACATTCCGTGTGAGAAGGTAGGAGTGGGGTGTGTGTGTGTGTGTGTGTGGAGGGGGTTGCGGTCGGTCTGAGAGCCTTGTCCCAGGGGTGGAAGGCGGAGGGCAGGGAACAGACAGAACTAGGGGCTTGGCTACTATTCCTCCCTTGGAGACCCTTTGCTACTGAACCTGCTGTTGGCTTTGCCTCAGGGCGAGCACAGGCTGCTCACGTTACCTGCAAGGATTTGGGCTCCAAAAGCCCTCCCCCCCCCCACCCCGCCACAGCGCTTTGGATACATCCCTGCAGCCAGGCTGGAGGCATGGGGGAGCACTGGCTCCTTGTTTGCTCCCCCAGAGCGGACCTCCTATCAGCCTTGACCGGCTCATCCTCCCCTCCCCTCCCACTCCTCTTGGCGTTCCTGAAGCAGGACAGCCCAGCACAACAATCCAGCTTTCCTCCCGCAGTGTTCTCCATCTTTCTCCTTGCTTTGGGGAGAGATCGCAATGGGGAAAAACAAGGCTTACTTCCCACCAAGCGCTGTGATTCTTGGAGTGTCCTACCCCTTTCACACCGCGAGTCCAGGTCAAACTCACTTCCTCCAAGTTGGTCTCCCTCATCCACTCCCTTTCCACTTCCAGAGACTTGCGGGCGGGGGTGGGGGTGGGGGTGGGGAGCTGGAGGCAAAGAGCCGGGTGGAAGGGCATGCCCAGACGGAGGAGCCAGGGTCCGGGTTGTTCGCTCTGCCTTTGTGGACTTTCTTTTTAGGGGGCGGAGGGCGAAGGGCTCTGGAAGGTTTGCGAGTGCTCTGCGGTGCTTTTTCCGTGGCACGTTTTCCAAACAGCTTGATGGTTTCCCCTCTGTCACCTCCTATCACTCCACGCCCGCAACGCAATGGACAAGAAGGGTTAGGAACACCTTTAATCTAACGCGGAAGCTTTGGAGGAGGGACAGGACGAGCAGCCCCCTGGATGAGCTGCTCTGGGCTGGAAACAAGGGCGCGCTAACGCTCTCACCCCCCAACCTCCTCCCCCCTCCTGCGCTTGAAACTCTCCAACCCATCCCACACGGGGAACAGGTTCCGAGGTCCCTGCAAAGCCAGCTTTCCCGGGCTCCGAAAAGCTTTTGAAAACCTTTAGTCCATTCTGCCTAGAAGTTTGGATTCACCCTCGCTCGGGTCACCTCCGGAGAGGTCTCCTTTGGTGCTGTCTTTTCGGATCAGAGCTCCTCGTAAACAAGGCGGGGTGTTTACCAAACAGAGGCGATGTATGTATGTATGTATGTATGTATGTATGTATGTATGTATTAGGGAGTTCGCGGTAGGTTCCTTAAATAGTTCAAACTCGTGGGGCCTTCTCTGGGTTGCTCGGGGTTGGGATGGGGAAGAGGGCCAAGGTGTTTCCGGGCAAGCGCACGCGGGGTTAAGTGGCGACGCGACTCGCCCGGCTCTCCAGCGGATCCCCTTGGAGATACCTTTGGCTGAACCCCCAGCCTGGCGCTGGGGAGACCCGGCTTGCAGAGGGAGACCCAGGGACCACACTACCCTTTGGCCCCAGCTCTGGATTAGGTGGACTTTTCCTGGGGTCGTCGGCGGCCGGGAGTGGGCTCGGTTTGTGTGGCTTCCCCTCTAACAAAGAGATCCCCTGTAATCCGCCGAATCTGTTATCAATTTCTCCGCCGCCCGCGCCCCGCCCCGCGCGCCCCGCCCGGCGGGAGGCGCAGGCCCGGGAAAGTGCGCGGGGCCCGCGGCGACCAGCGCCGCCGTCTGGGAGGCACACACCGGAGTCCGTGCATGTGTGTGCACGCGTGTGAGTGCATGGCCGAGCGTGCGTGTGAGTGTGATTGTGCCGGAGCGCGTGTGCGCGGCCTCGGCCGCCTGCCTGTGGGGAGGGAGAGCCGGCTCCGCATCAGGGGCCGCGCGAAGGCAGCCAGCGCAGCCCACCCCCTCCCCCGGCGGAAACCTGACACTCCGGGCGGGGGTGGGGGTGGGGAGGGGAGACTTCTCTCCACGGCCGGGGAAACCCAGGCTTCCTCCTCTCTGGGATGCGCCCCCAGCTTAGAAGCGCTTTGGGGACCCCTGTGCCACGGGCGCTGGGGCCCCGGTAGCGGGCACTGGGGCCCACATAAGCATTTCCTCTCCAAGAAGCACCCCCCCTCCCCAGGTGTCCGGGCCAGAGGGGCGGCCGGCTGGCCAGGAAAGGCCTTGGGCGAGCTTCTGAGCATCTTCCTGTTCCCAAAGCTGCCTAGGTCCCCTTAGTCCCTTCTGTGGCGAAGGGTCCTGGCCAGGCCCCTTTGTCTCCTGAAAGAGGCTCCCCGAGCCTTTTCCTGGGGAAGGGGGTCCCCGGGGGAGTGGCGGGAGGCGAAGCGCGTCCGGGTTACACTGATCAGAGATGGAAAAGGGACTCTGGAAACCTGCTCCTCCCACCCGCAGCCGCCGCCGCCCTGCCCCACATCCGCCTGCAGGTGGAGAAGTCACCGGTGGGGAGGAAGGAGGAAGGGCAGCCGAAGCTTCGGAGGCCGCCTCTGCCCCGACATTCTGGAAGCCTGGAACCTTCGCCGCCAGGCCCCGTGCGCCCTGGAGTCCGGGTCTCCGCGGCGGCGCGGGCCTGCGCTGTCTCTGCCGCCGTCGGGGGGCTCCCTGGATGGAAGCAGCTCTGGCCTCCGCTGCGCCCTCGCCGTTCAGAACGGACCCAGCCGAGTCTTAGTTGGGTCTGGAGGGCGGGGTGGCGGTGTTCACAGGCCGGGCTCCCGGTGCCGCGATGGCGAAGCGGCGGACAAAGCCAGCCCGGGACCAGAGGAAGCTGGAGTGCCCCTCGGCTCCCTTTCCCCCTGCCCCTAGGCAGCCGCCCGGAGTGAGGTCGGAGGGAGAGAGGAAAAGAACTTGGAGGAGGATGTGGGGAGAGCAGGGAAGGGGTCCTGTCCCAGTACAAAGGGACCCAGATCCCTCTTTCCTTTTGGTGCATCCTGATGCTAGAGCCCGCTGAGCCCCAGGGAGCGCCCTGCTTTCTGGATTCCTTGGTTGGGGGAGCAGATCTGTGTCTCCCCCCCCCATTGATTCCTGTGCCCCACATCTCCTTCCTCCAGCTCCAATCTGGCTGAGGAGCGTCCAGAGGAAAACCAGGCTGCCCCCCCTCCGCCCCCATCCCTACCCCCCTTCTGGAAGTGGCTTCGCCCAAAGCGGCCCGTAAACTGATTAGGAAACATACGATGTTAATTCCGAGCTGCAGTTCCCAGCTGGGCACTTTCTCGCGCGCCGCTCCCCCGGGCCTCGCCCCCCACCCCCTGCCCTTCCCTCCCGCGTCCTGCCCCCACCCCCACCCCCACCCCCGCGCCGGCCACCCCGCCTCCTCCCTCCCGGCCGCCGCGGCGCGCTCCGCTCCACTCTCCTCCGCGCTGCCCTCGCCCTTGGAATGAATTCCGGCTCCACTTGTTGCTCAGCCCAGGTCGGGGAGAGGGAGGACTTGAGGGGCGGCGGCGGCGGGGTCCCCAGTGAATTCCCACGGAGGGACCCGGCGCTGTGGGGACTGGAGGGGGGCGAGGGAGTGCGGGACACCAGCAGCGGGCGAGCAGGAAGGAGGCAGCGCCTGGCACCCGGGCTTTGACTCAACAGCAGTGAGACATGTTCGTGCCCCGCGCGCAGGAGCCCAGAGAAATCAGATTTCCTGGTGAGGTTGCGTGGGTGGATTAATTTGGGGGGGGGGGGAAGAAAGAAAGAAACTGCCTGTATCTTCTCATCAAACAGCTCACACGGAGGAGAGGCGCAGTCCATCCGCAGTCAACCTAAGAGAGGCCCGGATGCTTCCCGTTGTTTAAACTTGTGTGCTTGAGAATTATCTGGGAGGCAATAAACATCTGCTCCTTTCTTCTCTCTCCAGAAGCCCACTGGAATATCAAGGCCGGGAGTTGCTCTGGGGTCGGCTGGAAGTGCCATGTCTCCCACGTTCTTCCTCATGGCTTTGGCCATATTTTTCTCCTTCGCCCAGGTTGTAATAGAAGCCAATTCTTGGTGGTAAGTTCATTCTATGTGCATCTTTTATTATTTTATTTTATTTTTTTAAGTATACATGTGTATGCTGCTGCCATATTTAAAGCTAAAACATGAATTTGGCTGCATTTATCTAAGACACCTATTCATTTTTTTTATTTACATGTATTTTTGAATAGGGATTTTCTTTCAAGTGGCTAATATTGTAAAGCTGATCTTTAGTTCCCTAGGGAATCAGAGCTTAAAAACCGAGACCTGTTTCTGTGAGGCCCATGTTCAGATGTGTGCTCATAGGACATTGCAGAATAAAAGGGGACTAAAGGTCATTGCTCTCCTCACTGGGAGCCTAGCTAGACATTTTACTTGTAGTAAAAGTGAGTTCCACCTTTTATTTTTCTGACCCTAGAGGTTAGGAACCTTCAGGGTCTACTGCAGGGAGAGTTCTAGGAAGACAGCTGAAGTACTTGGCTCGAGATTCGGTCAGGAAAAGGTGAACTTGAAGTAGTCCCATGTCCCTGAGTGAGAGGTTTCTCTCTGGCAGGGCCCTCGCCGACAGGCTGCAGTCTTTCCAGAGGATTATTTCTGAAGGCGCTCTGGATATTTTTCCCTGTGAATGAGCAGTGTTTTTCTGACTGTCAAACATGACTGCTGTTCACTGGATACCCTGCCTTGGGTCCTTCACAATCATATATAAGGAGCCCTTTTAAGCTGTCCAGAATGAGGTGGAGTTTTTCCCGGACTATATACTTGTCCCACTGTTCTTCCATCAGTCCCAAGGAACTGCTAGCTGCCACCCGTGTCTAATTGTGTCTCCTTTCCTTGGCACTCGTACTTTTTTTTTTCCAAGGCAGATCAGTCCGATTTGTGAGGCAACGTGAGTGAGTCACTCTCTCTGAGGTCGGAGATGTGTCCCTGAAACCGCTGTTTACCTCCTTTCTGAGTGGGTTTGGGAAACACTGGTTCAGGTAGACGGCAGGCGTGGGGGCAAAAAGGGGAGGTAAAACCTCGGAGGGGCCAGATGGCGGGATGGGGACTACACAATACCTCCGTTTTCTGAGTAGAGCTGAAACAGAGGAGTCTTATGAGGCCCTTCTCATACTTTGTCATGAGGACAAGCAGGAGAGAAAAGCATCTGTGTGCTTAGACCTATGTCTTGCTGACATGCTTTCTGGGGGCCCACCTCGAGAGTTCACGTAAATCTTAAAGGCACATCTCCCCCCCCACCCCTTCCCAGGTCGCTAGGTATGAATAACCCTGTTCAGATGTCAGAAGTATATATCATAGGAGCGCAGCCTCTCTGCAGCCAGCTGGCAGGACTCTCTCAAGGACAGAAGAAGCTCTGCCACTTGTACCAGGACCACATGCAGTACATTGGCGAAGGCGCGAAGACGGGCATCAAGGAATGCCAGTACCAGTTCAGGCACCGGCGGTGGAACTGCAGCACTGTGGACAACACCTCCGTGTTTGGCAGGGTTATGCAGATAGGTAGGAGACCACGTCACCTATTTTTAAATATATATATAAACCTTTTTCCTGGAAAAAGCCCTTTGTGTTTACTGAGCAGCCTGATCCCCAGGGAATCTTACAGCAGAATAGTGGCTTGGGGATTTGTGCCCTTATTTCCTTATTGCTACCTGCGTTCATTCCTTTTCCCACACTCCTTTTTTTTTTTAACCTTCTGGACTTCCGTCACCCAATCAGGAGGGGAGCATCTAAGACACCATTATTTTTTTCTGAACGTGTAATTTCTCTAAGAAACATTTTGGTTGCAACAGAAGCAGCGCACTTATTTTGGTTTCTCAAAAGTAGAAACTCGCTTAAGCTCCAAAACTCTTTTAACTGTTAATAGTTTTCTAACTTAAGCCGCAAGTCAAATGGCCCAAGCAGCAAACTAAAAGTTGTCATTCCTTTCAGAATGTGTTGGAAATGAATCAGGTTCTGATTTTCCTAATATAGATAGTCCCTGAGGCTATAGAGATCTATAGGTTAAAGGCTTTCCTTTTAGTCCCTGAAAGAACTTTCATTAGAAATGGTCCCATTCACATTTGCGATTTTGGCAATTGATATAAAAGCACATCCTTCATTCAGACCTCAACCTAGCAACTTCAAAAAAAAAAGAACGTTTAATTGTATCACTCACAATCCGATTCTTCATTTTAAATATGTTGTTGAACTTGTTCCATTCAGGGAGGTAGTGGCATTAAAACTGGACAAAGGGCAAAGAATTGGAAACATGGGCTTGCCTCTAGTTTGGTTTCATACTGTCTGACAGACCAGGTCCCGTGTGCGTTTTCTGGTGTGAATATTTTAGGCCTCTTTTCTTGTATGCAAAACAAGCCCTTATAATTAATATGACTGCAGTAACTCCTAAAATAAGAAGCCATCTATCAAAGCAATTAACTGTTTATACTGCCTGAAGATAAAAAGTTGGCTTAATATCCGTCACGGATGGCTAAAATGCTTTTTTTCAAAAACCCTGAAAAGTGCATTCATTGAGAACAAAAAAGAGTTGTCGGTGGGTGTTTGAGCCAAGCGGCTTCATAAACTAAAATAATACAGGTCTGGAAGCCAGTCCTCTAATTGAATGGGAAAATGGTCTGAAGCCCCAGCCTGCAGAGTCTCCTAGGCTTTGTCCTTCCTGTTAATGATTAAAATGTGCTAATGTATATGCTGGATCAGGAGTTAGGAGTGCAGTCTCAGAGACACAGTCTTCCCTGAATATAGGCTGCCTTCTGTAGGTAAGGGGGTGTGGTGGAGATTCCGTTCCCTTGCATTTGGATATTGTGGGCGAACTAAACACTTCTTTTTAAAGTGATAGCAGAATGGCCTGCTGTCAGCCTTCTCCCAACCCCTTATATCTGCTTATAGAGCGCCCCTGGACTGCCTTCCACTCCTACCGTGGGGCCACTTTTTCTCAAGAATATGAGTTAGCAAAAAAAAAAATAAAAAAAAAAAAAAAAATCACACCCCTCTGATGGTAACCAGTCAGGGAAACAGCAGTTGGAACTGTTTTTCTATGTAGGCCCTGGAACACAGCTTTGATTTAAGGTCCTCTCCTTGTCTTCATATGCAGCCTGTTTTGGGCCAACATGTTCAGAATAAGCTATCATTTGCTAAGTGGATTTGAGTTCTGCTGGAGATTTATTTAAAATGTGGTCCAAGATTCAAAAAGCCTGCTTCCTCGGGGAACAAGCAGAACCCTTGGTACAAAGGCCTATATTTAATTGTCCTGTGCGAGTACATTCTCTGGTCCTGGCTGCATGGTACTGTCTGTCTGGGTCCAGGGGAAGTGGGTGGGACGGCCTCTGAGGGAGCCCTCCTAGATAGGATCTCCCAGTCAGCTGCTGTTCTGGGAAGTGCCCCGTGTCTCCCTTGCCAACAGTTCCCCAGGTGCCTGGGGTCTCAGGGCAGAAAGCTGCTGCTGGGTGGCTTGTGTTGGAGCACCAACAGAGAGCTAGCGCGCGCGCGCGCGCGCGCGCGCGCGCGCGCGCGCTCTCTCTCTCTCTCTCTCTCTCTCTCTCTCTCTCTCTCTCTCTCCTCCCTCCTCTCTCTTCTCTTCTCTTCTCTTCTCTTCTCTTCTCTTCTCTTCTCTTCTCTTCTCTTCTCTTCTCTTCTCTTCTCTTCTCTTTTCTCCCTCCCTCCCTCCCTCCCTCCCTCCCTCCCTCCCTCAAATTTAAAGTATATTTGGAGAGAAGAAAAAACAGAATAGTTTTTGGTGGAAGAGGAACATAGACCCAAACCCATCAGTGGGAAAGTGACTTTGTTTTCCCTTTTCCCTTTAGGGGTACCTTGGGAGGGGAAGTTCAGAACACCTGTAAGAATGAAAGGTGTGTGTGTGTGTGTGTGTGTGTGTGCACATGTGTGCGCGCGCGCCCTGGAGAGCAATTCTTGTCCGTGAGAATCTGACCCTGTGATGGGGCCCGTGTCTGAGAAACCCAGGGCTGCCACTTCCACCCCCCTCCCCAACTCATTTTTCTAGGGTACCAATGGCCCGGGAGGCACTGTACACAATCGCCTGGGGAAGGGCCAGGCCGCTCTTCCTTTGGGGAACTTGCTCATTTTTCATCAAGCCCCCCTTTCTCCCAGCCTTTGTCTCAGTCCCTTCTTTGTCTCCACGCTGTGAAAAGCCACATCAGGAAGGCACCATTTTTAAGGAGTGTGAGGCTGGGAGGGGAGGTGGGTTCACAGGGCGGGAAAGCCAGGAGAAGCAGCAGCATTCCATCCAGGAGGACGGTAGCCACAGGCTATTCGCCAAAGAGCCCCTTTCAAACCCACCTTTTCCCCTGCGGTGACCAGTTAGCGCAGAGACTTCGACCAGGTTCGTATTATGGGGCAAAAAAAGAAAAAAAAAGAAAAAGAAAAAAAAAGGAAATGCTCAAGATAGACTTCTGAAACAAGCAGCATGATTGTGTTTGGTATAAAAGACCTTTTATGCTTAGTGTACTCACAAGACAGGGTCTGATTTTCCCTATCTCTGAAGGATTGTTTATCTCCTCGTCCTCTAGCTACCTCTTTATTCCATCAGCCTCCCAGCCAGGGCCACAGCGTTTTCTGCATTCTGTGCTCATCCTTAAATAACTCCCCAGGATCTATCTCCCCTCCTCAGTTCTCTCCACTCCCTCCCATGCTCTCTGCCTCACTAATTCCAGCAAGATAGATGTCACACCCCACAGGAACTTTCTGGATCCTCCCGCCAACCACCAGCACACGCCTCAAGTTATTCATTTTTTAAAATGTGGGAGGGAAGGTCTGTGGTAAATGGGAACCATCGCCATTCCTGGAAGGGGTGGGGGTGGGGTCAGAAATGGCCATGGATCCAGTGGGAGCAGACGTCCCAGGAAAAGGATGGGTCCTTCAATTGGCACAGCCGTCCCCCTGCAGAGGGACCCTTCTGCTTGGGGCTGAGTTGTACGGCCACCCCTCTCTGCTCCTCACAAAACAGTCAGCCAGCACTTGCTGTGTGGGGAGAAACTGATTCTGATACAGGGATTCTAGTGTCAGAGGGGGCTCCCCCTGGGTTTTTAGTTCAATACTCTGATTTTATAGTTGAGGAAAGTGAGCCTCCCTCATCCCCATCCCCCCTCCCCCAGACCCAGCTTCAGCTGGCCTGCTGGTGTTAACCCTTTCTCCCTCATAGTACAGCTTTTTTTTGAAGTGGCTTCTGTGAGGCATAGAAATGTCCTCACGCACAAGTGGAGATGATGACCTCCATTCTTCTCCTGACAAACAGGGCCCCTGTTTCACAGGGGATGGAGGCAGTGTTTACCAGCTTTGGGGAAGGGGAAACCAGTTTCAGGTTTGTATATTCATTACAAGACTTGGGGAGGAAGAAGCTTTTTTTTTTTGTCTTCCCCCAGGAGATTGCGCTTTTGCCTTCTTGCTGTCATATTCTAACACTGAGGCATGGGGTGGCAGGCTGTTTTCATAGTAGACACTCACCTCCATGAGAAGCATCAGTCAAGGCAGTGTGGGATTCAAAGAGAAGTGGCTCCATGAGAACCGGCTGGGGATGGGTTTGAACAATGTCCCTTGCAGGCGTCTTCAAACTACGGCCCACGGGCCACATGCGGCCCACAGAGGAGTCTGATCCGGCCCGCCAGGTTTTTTGGGCAGTGAGCGCAGCCGAGGTGTTACAGTAGGAATTAGTAGTTCATATAGTCCGGCCCTCCAGCTCTCTGAGGGACCGTGATCTGGCCCCCACTTTAAAAAGTTTGAGGACCCCTGGAGAGCCTCATCCTGGGACAGGCGACAAGCAGCAGGAGGAGGGGACTGGAGCTAGAACCGGCGGCCGCAGGGTGGCTGCTGCAGGGGCTGCCGCTGTGGCTGCCATCCCCCCGGGGGCCTCAAACTTTCCGAGGCCCCGAGCCTGGCAGCTGCCACGCGCCCGCCACGTGAAAATAATACAAACACTAAAATACATGTGAGGAAGTCTACCCAGATTCTGAGTTCCCCCTCAATGACTCCTTTCTTGTGCATTTTTGGAAATAAGAAGTTTCCAATATTTTTTAAAAAAGGGTTGGAGAGAAAATCAGGCCAGCACTGCCTAGAATCCCGCCTTTGGCTCTGAAAGGCAAGAGCTCAGGGACGTATTGTTATTTGTTATTATTTGGGGGGAATCAGCGGGCAAGGGGGGGCGGGGCCTGAGAGTATGGGATGGGACGCTCCATGGTCCCTGTCCAGGAGCAGCACCTGTACTAGCATCTACGCAGCATCATCCCTGCCCACATCCTCCAGGCCGGGGGCTGCGGGGAGTGGGGGTGCTGCGGGGAGTGGGTTGCTGCAGGGAGTGGGGGTGCTGCGGGGAGTGGGGGTGCTGCGGGGAGTGGGGGGGCTGCGGGGAGTGGGGGTGCTGCGGGGAGTGGGGGGGCTGCGGGGAGTGGGAGTGCTGCGGGGAGTGGGAGTGCTGCGGGGAGTGGGGGGTGCTACGGGGAGTGGGGGGTGCTGCGGGGAGTGGGGGTGCTGCGGAGAGTGGGGGTGCTGCGGGGAGTGGGGGTGCTGCGGGGAGTGGGGGGGCTGTAGTGAGTTTGGGACACCCCCGCAGCCCCGGTGACCCCGTCCTCGCCCGCAGGCAGCCGCGAGACGGCCTTCACGTACGCGGTGAGCGCCGCGGGGGTGGTGAACGCCATGAGCCGCGCCTGCCGCGAGGGCGAGCTGTCCACCTGCGGCTGCAGCCGCGCCGCGCGCCCCAAGGACCTGCCCCGGGACTGGCTGTGGGGCGGCTGCGGCGACAACATCGACTACGGCTACCGCTTCGCCAAGGAGTTCGTGGACGCGCGCGAGCGGGAGCGCATCCACGCCAAAGGCTCCTACGAGAGCGCGCGCATCCTCATGAACCTGCACAACAACGAGGCCGGCCGCAGGGTGAGTGCCCGCCCGTGGGGTCCACGCCCCCCAACCAAGCTGGGCCTCTTCTGGCCTCTCTGCCCCTCCCTCTGCCTCTCTATGGGTTCCTGTCTCTTGTCACTCTGCATCTCTGTTTTCCCGTCTGTCTCCAACCCCCTTTCTGTCTTTTCTGGTCTCCTTCCCTCTCTCCCTGTTGGTCTTTTTTCCTCTTCCCCTTCCTCCTGCTCTCTCCCACTCCCCAACCCCCACCCCAAGATCTCAGGCCTCTCTGGAGAGGGGCACAGTGGGGGTCAGTGCTACCTGGGTCCCCTCCAGCCAAGGTGCTTCTGCAGGAGCCTGAGGAAGAGCTTTGTCTGCCCCTTTAACTGATCCCCAGGACCACAGGCCAGCCCAGCTTGGAAGTAAAAGAGTTAGCAGTGTTTGCCCTCCCCCGGCACAGGTCTGTGGCTGGGCTTACCTTGGGGAGAGGGAGTTCTTTATCCAGTAAGTGCCCAGCTCAGAAACCCTCATCCCAGTCTCAGGACTTCCCTTTCTTTCTCTTCCCTATGTCATTAGAGCAAGCTTGATGTACTGAAAGCTTAGAGAGAGGGAGAGAGGGAGAGAGAGAGAGAGAGGGAGAGGGAGAGGGAGAGGGAGAGGGAGAGGGAGAGGGAGGGAGAGAGAGAGAGAGAGAGAGAGAGAGAGAGAGAGAGAGAGAGAGCGCACTTTTATAGGAAAACTACAGCCTTTTTCTAGTCTGATCATCAGGCCAATTGTGGGTGCCTCTGGAGGGATGAGAGAGCCACTCAGAAGTATCCAGAGGAGACCGAATCTGTAAGCCCTCCTGAGTGTCCCCATTCTGCTCCCTCCTTCCACTGCTGGTGGGGACATGAAATGCTTGTCCACAATAGTTAAAAGGACCCCTTTTTCCCTGCGGGGAAGCACATGGCACTTAATGGCTGCTCTAAAATGAAGGGGTGAAAACTTCTCTTTGGCAGCATCGAAAACCAGGGTCATTATTTTTTTTTCACAGAGCCCCTGGGAAAGGTAGGTGCCAGGGACTTTCTGGTCGGAGATTTCACCCTTCTGTATTTTGGGGTGAGGAGGAGGGAAGTTAATCACAAAGTAAAATATCCAAAACTGGAAGGAAGGAAGGAGCCTTAGGACCCTTTGGCTGCATACCCCCATTTTAGAGATTGGGAAACTGAGGCCTAGAGAAACACTTCATGGCTGTGGAAGAGAATTGATGGAGTGAGATATAAACCAGGTGCTTTGTGCTTTTTTTTCTTTTTTCTTTTTTCTTAATTGAACTCATGCATCACGGCTTAGGGATGAAGGGAGATAGCTTTTGGAAACGGTGAAATCTAAAATCCTGAACCTTCCTGTTTCTGAGCCTCAGTTGCCACACTTCCACATTTGTTAAAAGCCATGGCATTAGCTCGGAGTTATCTTGAGCACTAACGGGGGTCACGTAGCAGGTGGAAGTCACGGGGGTCACGTAGCAGGTGCGCGACTCTCTCTTACCTACAAAATAACAACTTCCTCTGGTTCCACTGAAGATCTTCCTTTAGTGCTGGCCAGTAGTATAGTGCTTGGTAAATATTAAACATTAGAAGTAGAAGTCATAGACCATTCCAGCTATCCTGTCTACTCAGATTTGATGAACTCCGCAGATTTCTGCCTGTGCTGCCCTGAGGGGTCAGATAATTGCTCCAGAGGGAATGTGGCCCCTCCTGCTTCAGGTTGTCCACCGTAGGGTGTCTGAACTCTCCCTCCCCAGGGTGGCCCACCCAAGGCTGTGCCACAGGCATGTCAACCAGAGAGATCTGGGAGCCCAGAGACCCTGACCTGGTGCTCATCAGAGACACACACCTTGACTCTCTCGGGGCCCAGCACCTCAGACAGGACATGCCCTTGGGACAAAGATGTGGCTGCCGTTCTGCCCATATTGAGTGCTTTCATCCTCTTTGAAGATTCCCTATGCTTCTCCTATGTCCGAAAGTCCTCAGGGGCTTAGCAACCAAGGAGAACAGGCCAAGGGATTTCCAAGTGAAGGGAGGGAATTTTGCAGAATTGGAAAAGTACCTTTAATGTTATAATTTCACTTAACTAATGCATTTTTTTTTAATATCGAGGGATTCTCCCCCTGCCATAAGCTTTCTAATGCAAGCAGTGAGCTGAGCATGCATCCTGGCGGATGAGGTTACACAGAAGACAGCTTTTCTCCAGGATGGTGGGGGTGGGGGTGGGAATTTGGACCCTGGGCCAGGAAACCCTGTTAGCATCTCCTCAGGACATAGCCTTTTATTTTCCTCATGGGGGAGTGAAGGTTAAATATGTTTGCAAAACCCTTCCTTAGACTAGCTGCACCTGAACCTCTTTATGCCCAGGGGATATGCTCTGGCCCCCTTTTTAAGAAAGCCCCTGCAGACCCCCTGGAGGAAGGTCGTGGCCGGGTGGAAGCAGCCTTCTCACTCACTCCAGCCTCCAGGCTCCTGCCAACAGCACTTGGACTCTGGAGAATAACGGGTTCAGCACTGTGGGCCATCAGGGCTATAAATAGGCAGCCGCCACCTCCCAGACTGCTGGGCACGGTGCTCTGAGGCCAGACCCGAGGCCAAGGCGATTGGGAAGGGCCGCGATGCAATGCCCTTGTTACCCTGGAGAAAGACCAGATTTACTGCGTCCCCCCTGCCCGTTGCGTACTTTCCGTGCACCCGCTAATTTTATCCTGACGACAGAGCTGTGAGGCTGGTGAGCCCCCTACACACATGGGAAGTGGAGGCTCCGAGAGGGGACGCCCGTAGCTTGAATTCAGAGGCAGCGGCAGGAGAGAACCCAGGTCTGCCCGGGTCAGGAGGGTGCCCTTAGCCTAGGCAGTGGAGGGAGGGGGGTAAGGATGGTTTGGGAAGCAGGAGGGAGAAGATCTGAGATCCGGGCTCCATTCTCCCACTTCCCCTCTCTGTGCCCCTGTGTCACCATCTCACCCAGCCTGTGTGATCAGGAAAGAAAAGCATGGACAGGATCTTCCTCCAATGCGTGGTACACGGCACGAATAGTCACAGTGAGCCAAGGTCTGAGCCCTAATCCCACCTGGGCCGGACCCCTCCCAGCCGTACCCCTTCATCAGCTGGGTACCCAAAGGCAAGCCACTGAGCATGAGCTTTGGAGCCCAACTGCCTAGGTTCAAATCCTGGGACCCCTGCTTCCCATAAGCAACTCACCTCTCTGGGCCTCGTTTTCCTCCCCTGTGAAATGGGAGAGGTCATGGCCCTGCCCTCGTGGGCCGGTGGTGGGGATTAGTCCAGGTGGCGCAGATAAAGAGCTGCGCACCAGCTCCGGGAAGAGCCTTGTTCAGGCTGCATTCGTTGCTGCTCATGTTGTTTCCCTGACAAAACAGAGGCAACGGGACCCATGTTTCCTGCTCACATTAAAGAGCTGTAGTTGTTTATGATGATGATGTGTAATAACGAGGGGCTAAGAACGTATTTATGTTGTTGACTGTTTAGAACAGGGGTGGGGAAAGTCCGGGCCCAGGGGCCGGCTAAGGCCCCCAGAATCCTTCGCTCTGGCCCTGCGAGGGGTAAATTAACTCAGTGTTTGACCAAATAGAGCAGTGGACACTGTTGTATAGCCTGCCGGTGATGTTATAATACATAGCCACATGGCCCATAGCAGAAGAAAGGGTCCCCACCCCAGTTTTAAAGAAAGCAACACAGACTTTGGGTAGTGGAGAATGAGGAGGAAGCAGCCGCGCCTCTAGGTTAGGGGGCGCCGTGGCTCCCGCTAGAAGGTGGAGGGGAGCTTTGATCACAGAGCCCTGCCTGTGCCCGGCCTCCCTCCTCCACGCGTCTGTAAACTGACTGTCCCTTGTCCCCACAGACAGTGTACAACCTGGCCGACGTGGCCTGCAAGTGCCACGGGGTGTCCGGCTCCTGCAGCCTCAAGACGTGCTGGCTGCAGCTGGCCGACTTCCGCAAGGTGGGCGACGCCCTGAAGGAGAAGTACGACAGCGCGGCGGCCATGCGGCTCAACGGGCGGGGCAAGCTGGTGCAGGTGAACAGCCGCTTCAACTCGCCCACCACGCAGGACCTGGTGTACATCGACCCCAGCCCCGACTACTGCGTGCGCAACGAGAGCACGGGCTCGCTGGGCACCCAGGGCCGCCTGTGCAACAAGACATCCGAGGGCATGGACGGCTGCGAGCTCATGTGCTGCGGCCGCGGCTACGACCAGTTCAAGACCGTGCAGACCGAGCGCTGCCACTGCAAGTTCCACTGGTGCTGCTACGTCAAGTGCAAGAAGTGCACGGAGATCGTGGACCAGTTCGTGTGCAAATAGTGGGCGCCCGCCGCTCGCTTGCCTGCCACCCAGCCCCGTTCCCAGGACCCACTTATTTATAGAAAGTACAGTGATTCTTTTTTTTTTTTTTTTTAATATTGTTCTATTCCCCCCCCCCCCCCCCCCCCGAGAATTGCAACCGGAAGCATTTTTTTTCCCTGTTCCCATCTAAGAACTCTGTGGTTTATTATTAATATTATAATTATTATTTGGCAGTAATGGAGGGTGGGAACCAAGAAAATATTTATTTTGTGGATCTTTTTGAAAAGGTAAGACTTCTTTTGACGGTGTCGGAGGAGGGGGAGATAACACAGACCCTGACTTAGCTGTGTGCACATCCAGAGGGCAAAGGAAATATGTTTTTTTCTGTCAGCCTCGGGGTTGGGCAGGGCAGGGAGCGTCCAGCTGGAAGGGGTTGGCCCAAGTCTGTGCTCCACTCAGCCTCAGTGACCAAAATGCTCTGGTGAAAGGTCTTGAGAAATAAACACACAAGCAAGCAGAATGAGGCCCCCTCCCCTCTCTCCAGGGGCTACCAGCCTGAAACATTGTCAAAATGGTGATTTAAAACATAAGAGCGAGAATCTCATTTCCCTCAAAGAAAAAAAAAAAAAAAGTCTATCATGGATCTCATGCTTCTCCGACATTCCATGCACAGATGGTCCCGTTCTAACAGCTACTGAAACTTGGGAGCAGGGAGGAAAGCCTCAGAAAGGGGGAAGAAAAAAAACCTTAAAAACTCCTATATAAAGACTGATTTGAAGCTGTTACAGGAATTAGGTTATCAGATTGGGAAAGCATCCCCCGAATGACTCTGGGTTGTAGGCGTTTTGTTTGGAGAGGGGGCGGGGGAGGTTGGCTTGAATCTAAAGGAAAATATACTGTAATTTTCTTAGGGACACTTGGTTAATAAATGATAATAATCAAAATAATAAATGGATTCCATTCACAGACCTTCCGCCCAAACACCAAGGTAACTGAATGCCGCTCAGCGCTGCACCAGAGCAGAGCGCCTGTTTGCAGGGGAAGAGGGAGACCCGACCCACCTCCCACTTGACCCCGAGCCCAGCCTGTGCCCTCCTCGCCCCGCTGAGGAGGTGAGGCCATTCCGTGTCCAAAGGCAGCTCCACTGGGTCCCCATGGGTTGCAGGATAGGAAACAAACCATTAGGAGCTCTGCTTGCAAAACAGTTGCTACTTAGGGATTTTCCCCCCCAAAAAAACTTGGATTCCAAGGAGCCGTAGTTTCATGTTTTCATGACATTCCTTGGCTGATGGAGTCCACAGGGGTGTTGCAGGGTGTCCTGTGTGTAGGCTCTGCACTGGAGCTTTTCCTAGGACACTGAAGGCGAACCCTAAAACTGTTCCTACTGGACCTGAGCAGTTGGATGTATAAGGGAGGGGAGAAATGTGGTCTAATGGTGCCTGATATCTCAGTCTCTTGTACATAACACACACACACGCATATATACATACATATGTATATATAAATATAAATATTATTATATCAGTGCAGCCAGTGGTTTAGAATTACACGTTCCTCCCGGGTTGTTTCTCGGTCTAGAACATGGTTGTCCTTTGTTGCGACCCATTGGGATTCTAACAAGGGGTTTTCGAGTTTAGCGTGGGCAGTGGCCCTGGTGTGATGCCACCGTGAGCATCACTAAGCAGCCTCGGGTCTGAGGCATCCGGAAGGCCTTCCTCCCTGACATGGGTGTTGGTTTGAAGATTTCTTTTCTCTCCCTCCCTGCCCCTTCCCTCTTCTGCAGCCTCCATTTCTGTACACTTTCCTGAAAGGGCATTACTCGTTCGTCATAGTCTTGGAAATGAAGAGAGATTCGAAACTAGAAAGCATAGTCATCATTTCTCTCTCCTTCGTTCTGCAGAGCAGAAACGGGTGCCTGGTAGATTTGTAGTACCTAGTTGAGTCCCTAAGGAAAATCCAGCTCATGACATAGACAACTCTTTCCACAAAGTGCCATCCAGCGTGTTCTCTCAGACTTGCAGGATTTAAGGAGTTTGGAAAGGTACACATCTCTTACAGCCATCATAGGCTCGGTGGCCTTCACCTCTCCTCAGCCATATGTGGCTCTTAATTTATTGCACAAGGATATTCACTTCCCCTCAGTTGCAGTGACCTGCAAGCAAAAGATCTTGAAGTTAAAAAGCACTAATTAGTTTGAAATGTCACTTTTTTGGTTTTTATTATACAAAAACCATGACGTTTTTATTTGCTAAACAAGATTTTGTTCCTTCTTAGCGATTCATGTTTATGAAGAGAGTTAAGTTTAACAATCCTAGTTTTTAAAAGAAACTATTTAATGTAAAATATTCTACTTGTCATCCAGATATTATGTATATCTTCTATGGCCTTTATTCTGTACTTTTAATGTACATATTTCTGTCTTGCGTGATTTGTATATTTCACTGGTTTAAAAAAACAAACAAACATCAAAAGGCTTACGCCAAATGGAAGATAGAATATAAAATAAAATGTTACTTGTATATTGGTAAGTGGCTTCAATTGTCGTTCAGATAATTCATGTGGAGATTTTTTGAGAAACTATGAGGGAGAGGTTAGGGTGACTACATGCTAGCATAACAGAAGAGCAGAATTTTTTTTTTTTTTTTTTTTTTTTTTTTTTTTTTTTACCAAAAGCCAAACTATTTGGAAGCTTCAAATGATTTCTATATGTAACAGAACAAGAGGGGAATTCTCTTTTCCTATATATGTCCCTCAAAAAGTCAAGCAGATGGCGCCAAGCTGGGTATAGGATTGCTCGCATTCTTTTAGCATTATGCATGTAACTTAATTGTTGTAGAGCGTGTTGCTGTTGGAGCATCTTGGAGGACGGAAAGGCACATCTTTTTCCCCAGGACCAGCGTTTCAGACCCCGGAAGGGTCTCTGTGTTTACCACTGCCAGGATTGCACCTCGCTAGTTGAAGTTACTGTGGACTTTTTGAGTGTCTCTGTTCCCCTTTGAAAGCCATTCCGTGAAAAGCAAGCCTCAGTCTGCAGAGAATGAAAACTCATGGGAAACTAAAGGCTCGCTGTGTGAAGTGCAATTAATACGGGTTCTTGTGCTTCCCAAAGGGGCACGCTGAAGGCTGGCCAGCGCTGCCCAGATGGATACGTTAGCCCTTCGCTTTTTTTTTTCTTCCTTTTCTTTCTGGATAACCTTGTAACATATTGAAGCCTTTTAAGGATGCCAAGAATGCATTATTCCACAAAAAAAAACAGTAGACCAACATATAGAGTGTTTAAAATAGCATTTCTGGGCAAATTCAAACACTTGTGGTTCTAGGCCTCACATCTGTTTCAGTTTTTCCTCAGTTGTATATTGACCAGTGTTCTTTATTGCAAAAACATATACTTGATTTAGGAGTGTCAGCATATTTTTTTTTTCTCCCTTTGCATCCTGGAATGCATTCAAGATCTTCCCAATACAGGGAAAATTAACAACAACAACAACAAAAAACCCCTTATATTAAAAACCCGATATGTAGGCAGCAGCAAGCAGAGCTGTGTTCAAAGTAGTGATTACGGACTCACGTAAGAGGAAGACTGCTATAAGTTTTGGTTCAGTTTATCTGTTCGCTGCTGACCTCCTTGACTGGATATATTTTAGAAGCCGACCCAAACCCTTGGCCCAGACAATTTTGCCAATACCAAGTTTCAATTGGTTTTTGCAAACCATTCTGCAAGCCACTGGAATGATCCAATGGGACACTCTCGCAGGATAACTGCTCCGAATGAGAAGCTGTTTGGTATTGGCAGACTCCAAGAGATCATTAGCAAAAACAGCCCCCAAAGGCTGAGTGGTTTCAATAGAAGAAGAGAGAGACATGGAGAAGGTATTTGGAACTTGAAGCACGGATGTAACACAAATATGCACCAAGGCATAGGTCTAAAATACTGCTTTATCACTGTAAACGGTACTTTTAAAATATTTATTTTTTTAGAAAGTATTTTTTTTTAATCTTTCTTTCTCTATGGGATGGTAAAAAACCAAATTCCATATTTCGGAAGTAAGATGATGAAATGAGTTTTTAAAACAGGAAACACTCAGCAATGCGGGAATTACAACTTAGTAAAAGGATCCTCTAATTTACCTGTTCGTACGAACTTTATGCTTAAATCTGATGATTGGAGGATATTTTATTTCAGGGAAACCTCGTCTTGTTAGCCAACTTAAAAAAAAATGGATATGGGATGATGAAAGCTTGGGTATGATTTTTTAAAGACAAAAATGTATCCATTTGAATCAAGAAGATTTAATTCAAATGCTGTCTCAGTATTTCAAAAGCAAAAGAGGAGCTAGGAAAATTGCATCTTAGGCCAGTTTTCTATGCAGTGTACAATTTGCTAGGCTAGAAATGAGATAAAGATTATTTATTTTTGTTCGTATCTTGTACTTTCCTATTAAAAATCATTTTATGAAATTGGCGCAGTCACGTGTGTGTTTAGCAGAGATGGTGTGCGTGGCCATCGGAGTTTGACGCGTGTGGGCACGGAGCACAATTATGGTTTGGGGCCGCCAGACGAGAACATTCACATTCCAGGCGTGTAGTTGATAATTATGGTCGAATCTCCAGGATTTACTTTGTATTTTAATGCTCATTTTCCTGTTGGCTTTTGCTAATCTTTCCATGTCTTATGTGTTCTGCTGTTGCTGACATAGAGGAGTTGTGTTAGGAGATTTTTACTCAGTGTGGACATTTAGCACAGTGACATGAGATGATGATGACATTTGAGGGCAAAAGGAGAAAATGATGTGGGGAGAAAAAAGAAGGTTCTAGAGAAACGGACAGAACCACCTGGAATATTCTGCAGGTGGCCTCTTGTTGCAGGAGTTTCCAGCCAGGTGTTTTGATTAGATGAGCTGCTCAGCCTCAGAACCATTGGCACTGGGGGCTGGGTAATTCTTTGTTGTGGGGGTTGGTCCTGTGTGGTTTTTAGCGGCATCTCTAGTCTCTACCCACTAGATGCCAGTAGTGCCCCCCATTTGTGACAACCAGAAATGTCTCCAGACATTGCAGAACATGCCCCAAGGAGCAGAATCACCCCCAGCGGAGAGCCACTGCTTTAGATGGAGGGACTGAGGTCTGTGCACCCCGGAGAATGCAGGTGAACCCCAGTGGTGGACTGCTACTTGCCTAGTTGGCTGACAAGCCAGGGGTGCGTGTCCCTTGCAAGTGTCCCCGTGTAGAATACGGAGATGTAGCATCTTTCACAGGCAGATTGGCTTAGCAATCAATAACAGGCTCTGGAGCCAGACTGCCTGGGGGCAAATCCCGGGACTGCCATTTGCTGTGTTACCTTGGGAAAATTGTGTAGCCTCTCTGAGCACATTTGTCTTTAAAACGGGAGAGAACACCGCACCTGCCCCCTGGGTTTTAAAGATAAAATGAGTTAGCGTGTTTTGAATGCTTTGAGGAGGTTCTGGTCCCCGGTAAGCGCTCACTAAATGTTAGCTAGGAAGGCTAGAATCAGTCTGAAGACCAAACCCAGGAAATGTGGGCCGGCGTTGTTTAACATACCCAGCCGTGGTTAGCTCAATGCTAGGAAGGCACCCCAAGGGTTCCGGGAGGTTGCAAACTTGTGGCCTGTCTACATCACATTTCCAGATGTATTCTGTTTGACTGGCAAAGTATTAAAAGTACTCCAATGAGCTGCCAGCAGAGAAAAGGTCAGTATTTTCACTTTCAGATGTGGATTCCTGGTTTGAAAACCGGGGAGAGCTGGCCACCTGAGTGCATTGCATCCTGAGTATTCAGGGGCAGCCATCGGCTGGTCCAGGCAGCATTGACCCTTTGAGACAGGGCAGAGTATGTCGGATGAGGGAGCCATTTGTGCCACTGAGCTGACCCCGGCAGGCTCATGCACTTGCGATGGCTGTTAAAGATGTTTTTCCCCCCGAGTCCGAGTTTCAACCTCACCACTGCTGACGTCCGGGGCTTGGTAATTCGTTGTTTTGAAGAGCTGTCAAGTGCATTATGGGATGTTTAGCAATAGCCTGGGTTTCTATCCACTGGATGCCAATAGCATCCTCCCCATCTGTGACAACAACATAGGTCTCCAGGCCTTGCTGGATGTCCCCTGGGGGGCAGAATCACCCTGGTTCAAACCCTTGGCCTAAACTAAAGGGTCTGTGTTCATAAGCTAGCCTTTGAGATTAAAACAGAGAAGTAAAATAAATAAAAATTAGTCTCTCGCTGTAAAGAAACGTCTGGCACATCACAGGAACTTGATAAATATTTAATGAGCGAATAAAAACATCCATTTCCATCAGCCCCACCACTATTCTTGCATCGGACATAACCTGAAAGGGGCTCTGAAGCCTAGCAATCATAGCAATGTAAGAGGGGGAATAAGTGTTAAAAAAAATAAACATACAGTAATAAATTTTCCTAGCGGGCCTGTTGCCACACAGCTAAGTGAAGATGCGCTCCGTTCTGTCATCTTCGTTATTGAGCTGCAATCCCATCACTCACAGGCCCAGGGGATGCTCAACAGGAGGAGTTTCCCTGCCAAACAAGCTTGGGAAAGGATGAAGGGGGATCATGGCGGCGCTGAGAGATGCATGCTGTGCATTAGCATATTGGCAGCGCTAAAATCAAAGATCGGCAGGGAAGGAGGCTGCTGCTTCTGAACGCATGGTGCTTTGGAATGTTTTGACTCCTGTTCATTTAACACTTGTTATTATCCTCCGGGCAAATCTGGGAGCCCTGGCATGGAGCTCCCCTCTCTCTGGCAGGTGTGTGGGGATGAGGTCAAGAGCTGTCTGGCTTGCCTTTTTTATGGCTGCAGAGAGGATGGGGTGCAGCTTGGTAACTTGTCCCGTCTAGAAAGCTGGCATTGCTCCTCTCGCTAATGAGGGGCTGGCCCCAAGTGGCAGTTAATCCACTTTGCATCCTGGGTGATGGGGATGGCAAAGGAGGTGCTCGGAGGCAGTCGCGAAGTCCCGAGGTATTAAAATACTACAAAGGCCCAGCCGGTGTGGCTCAGAGGGTTGAGCACCGTCCCATACACCAGTCAGGGCATATGCCGGGGTTGCAGGAGGCAGCCCATGGATGTTTCTCTCTTTCTAAAATTAACTCAAATATATATTTTAAAAGATAAAGGTACTACAGAGGTGGGAATGAGAAAGAAAGGGAGGAAAACCAGAAAAGGGCTGAAAGAGGAAAAGAGGAAGATATGAAAAGCAGAGATGATCAACACCTTCAGACAAATCTCATTTCCACTAGTTAAAAGGAAAGTGGGATGGGAAGGTAATATTTGATAAGCACTATCATGCATCTGGTACTTGCTAAGGGTTTTATCTTTCACCCACTTAAGTTAGCTTCCCGAGAATCTTCTGAGATAATCATGTTACATTCATATTATAGAGGAAAAAAAGCAAGTTTGGAGAGCATTAACCTAACCCAAGAGCCCATTTGTTCACCCAAAATTCAGGATCTCCTTTTATTATTGTGCGTTCACACTCGAAGATGGCTGCCTAACCAAAGACTACATCTCCCAGGCTCCCTTGCATCCAGGTATGGCCCCATGAGTGGTTTCTATCATTGGAAGGTGACCGGAAGTCATGTCAGTTTTGGAGCTGTGGTGAGTTCTCAGTTGGCCAGGAGCAGAGGACTCTGAAGTGTGAGGGGTTGATGGAGCCATAATATGGGAGAAATGTGAGTCTTTCACTCACCACCGGAAGAAAGCTGTGAGTTAACCAGAAACTCCTTCCTTTGACTAACTTATGAACTTTTTCGAGCTCAAGTCACTGGCATTTTGGAATATGATGCAGCACTTAGTTCTTTTACCCAACACACTGCTTCTCCGGGCACTTCAGTCCACCTGCCATGCTCCCATAGTGAGGCCCAGGGCCAGCACTGAGTTTCCACACACACAGGTACACAGGTGGGGGGGGCGGGGGGAGGGGAAGGGGAGGGTCCCCTACTCAGAGGATGAACAGATTGGAAGGTCTCTTGTAAGTCTCTTCCTTCTCTGAGCCTCTGATTTTCTTTCTGTTGTTGTTGCCTTTTCATCCAACCTCATTTACTGATTTACCATTTAAAGAGTAGGAAGGGTATTTAATGACTACCTGCTGTGTTCTGGGCACTAATTTAGGTGTTGGAGTTACAGAGGTGAGCAAAGCAACCAGGGTCCCTGCCCTTCTGGAGTAACCAGCCATCACAATGGGGAAGGGTGGGGTGCCACCTTAGCCCTGGAGAGGAGAGCCAAACCCACGCTTGGGGAATCAAGGATGCTCCCCAGAGAAAGTGGTGTTTTAGCTGAGCTTTTAAAGACAAGTAGAGGTTGTCTAGGTTAAGTGTGTGTGTGAGGGTGCGGGGGGGGGGGGGGGGGGGGGCGGGCGTGTGTGGTGGGTAGGCAATAGCATTTAAGAAATAGGGCACAGCTTATGCAAAGGCCAAGAGGTAGGAGAGGATGTAGTCCTTCCCCAGAGGTCTGCT